TAGGGGGTGGGGGGGGGGGATGGCCATTTATAGTCGTTAGCAACGGCTAAGTTTGCAAAGAATGGCGTTGGCCAACGGCTCTTTTTCAAAACAAAAAAAAATCACGCGGGCTGGCGGGCTAGGCCGAACGGGACGGGACGTTAACGGGCCGGCCCACCAGGACGAAATGGGTAGCCTGTCTCATCCCATGTCCCCTTGACTATAGGCCCAGTCCCGTTTAAGAGTAAGTGGGCCGGGATGGGATGGGCCGACCCGTCCCGTTGGACATCTATAGTTTTGAGCAGTAATTAATGTTTGGATAAGTTTTTAAAAGTGTTTCTAAATGTATTTTTCTCAAAAGTTCTTTCCAAAAAAAGTATTTTTGGGGAGAAATTACTTTTTTATACTTCTCAAAAACGACTTCTCCTTTTACTCAAAATTATTTATTTTTCTTCTAAAAGGTTGGTCAGACACCTTAATCTTAAAAAAATACACTTTTGGCCAAAAAGAAATACGGCCAAGCATGCTATAATTCAATAATTTTTTTGCCAAAGATAGAGCACAAAATTCGGGCTAAGTACAGATATACCCGATTTTTGGTCCACCATTGAAGTCATGCCCGCATTGCACAAAAATTTACAAATTTACTTACTTCAAAACACACTTCAGAATTCGAGTTTGAAGTTGCAAATTTAGGATTTTGTAAGATTTGAAGTTCTTCTATTGCTTCAAAGTGCAATTTTATAATTGCATCTAAAGTTCTTCTATTGTTTCGATGAAACTTCAGAAATTTGGATATGAAGTTCTTCTATCGCTTCAAAGTACAACTTCAAAACTGGATCTTATGTTCTTCTATCGCTTCAATACAACTTTAGAAAAACGGGATTTCAAAGCCTTATATCGCTTCAATGCAATTTTAGAATTGGATACGATTTCTTCTGTACTCCAGCCACTGTTTCAGGCAATACACTAATTCCTGCAAACTTCATAACTGGTGGAGCTACGATTGGGTGGTGGATGGACAATATTTGGTTGTTGATTGTTGGCTTTAGAGATGACCCGTAGTATTTTTGGTGATATTACAATTGTAACGATCCGACTTATCATTTTGAGAATTAACGTCCCGTTCGGTGGCTTAAGGTCTCGAGCAGCTTTGTAATGTGTATTATGACTTGTGTGTGTGTCGAGTTTGGTTTTTGGATGACTGGGGATTGAATTGAAAGAATAAATGTTTTGGAATGGAGTTTTGATGATTTCAATAGCTTGGTATTGTGATTTCGTACTTAGGCGTATGTCCGGATTTGGATTTGGAAGTCCGTAGAACAATTCGGCGCATTTTGGCGAAAGTTGGAGAATAGAAGATTTTTTGGAAAGTTTGACCAGGAGTTGACTTTGAGGATATCGAGTTCAAATTTTGGTTTTGGAAATTTTAGTAGCTTCTTACGTCATTTGTGACTTGTACGCAAAATTTGAGTTCATTTCAAATTGAATTGATATGGTTCGGCACGAGTTTTGGAAGTTAAAAATTCAAAGTTTATTTTAAGTTTAATTTGAGGTGTGATTCGTCTTTTCGATGTTGTTATGCGTGATTTGAGGCCTCCAGTAGGCCCGTGATAGGTTTTGAGACTTGTTGGTATGTTCAGACGGGGTCCCGAGGGGCTCGGGTGAGTTTCGGGGTGGTTTCAGACCATTTCTAGGCCATTTTTAATTGATGGTTTTTGGCTACAAAAGTGTGCATCACGATCGCGAACATCTGGTCGCATTCGTGAAGAGCAAACAATATTTTGGGGCCTTGTGAATCGCGTTCGCTGAAGCCTTTTCGCTATCACGTAAAAGGAAATTTCTGCTGCACGGGGCTGACTTTGGAAGCTTATATCTCGCAATCTATAAGGAATTTGGATATAATCCAAAAATAAAAGTTGTAGACCTTGGTGTCTAGTTTTCAGAACGTTAAATCATTTGTCATTTAGAGTTTTTTACCAAATGTTATGACCATTACACTAGAGGCTGTCAGGAAGAGTTGGGGCAGTTTGTTCTTCGCGATCACGACCGCGATCGGCTTTTCACGATCGCGAAGGGCAATTTGAGCTGAGAAAAAAAATTGTGCTTCATGATCACAAAGCATTTTCCGCGATCGCGAAGGGTAAAACACTGGGCATAAACTTTA